TTTTTTCTGTTTCTTCGTGGGGTCGTGTATGCCGGGTTTTGAGACCACGGGCTCCCAATCTCTCTTTTTTAGAGCTAATGTGAGAAACAACAACAAACAAACAACCTCACTAAGACCCACACCCATATCGGAGGGTGAACACGCCGCTGCCAAAGCAGTCACACGAGATCGCCATACGCAAAGTTCACGCGAACCCGCATTCGACCTAAACGAGACATCACCTGGTAGCAACGAAGAGACAGCCCCGGGCACACACGCCCCTCGATCGACGCCCACGCCCGCCGCCGCCAACGCGGCGGCCCCAAGCGCTCGGGAACCCGGCCTCGCTGTCTGATCTACGCTCCCATACGACTGTGGAGTTGGCCCCGCCGAAAGGCAGAGCCCGTGTCCTCAGTTGCTGCCATCTCCCCGGCGAACGACCAGCGCCGACGAGCCGCTTCCGCCATCGGCCGCGGCGCCCGAGGCTCCCCCTCCACCCGAAGCGCGGCCCCCACCGCCGCCGCCACCCTCGCCGCCCCCAGTCGCATGGCGGAACACGCAGGAGTCGCCCCACCTGCATGTTGGGGAGTCGCGATATTCGAAACACACCTTCGACCGGCGTTTGGAGTCCCCACCCGCGGAGCGGGAGTCCCCCCGCCGTCGCTTACCCCCACTCGATCCAGAAGAACCTCCACCACCCACAGTCCCGAACATCCGTAGCGCAATGCTCCCGGACATGGAGAAGCCGTTGATGCCATCGAACCGAGGAACCGGCGGGGGGCCAAAGCGCTCGAAAGACTCCGGCGGCACCGGCAAATTCTGCATCGGTAACATCCACAACATTACCGCATTTGCCCATTCCCGAAAATCGTCGTTAGGGAGGTCGGCGAAGGTCCCCCGCGACCCCCTCCCCTGAAAATCGCCCATATGGCGGAGGGCTTGCATTCGCAGCGTACCCCGCGCCGAAAGTATGGCCTGCTCCATGGGCAGCAAGCGCGCCAGAGCTGCAGCGTTGTCCGCGGAGGTGGCAGAGAGACCAAATTTCAACACGTTAACGATCGCAGCACAGGTCAAATCAAAGTGGTCCGGGACTGACAGCTCACCAGAATTGCCAACGGGAAGGAAGTCGAGGACGTTCAGTCCGGACATGGTCCGAAGCTGCTGCAAGGTCTTGTCGGTGCCGGTAACGGTCCCCCCCATCATCGTTTGCAGGGTCTCTTTGTTGGGAACGTCAATTCCCCGCTTACCACGCAGCGCCCACATCAAACGTCCCGCACGCCAAGCAGAAGCGGTACTCTCGAATTCCGCTTTTGCGAAGCGACGCTGGCGATCAGCGTCCGACCCAGGAGCAGCAGCTGCACCAAGACCCGCACCGACCGCCACCGCGGCTCCCGCGCCATCAGCAGCATGCGGGCCGACCACGTGCGAACCCGCGCCCCACCTTGGTTGTTCAGCAACTGCTGCAGGGATTGCTCCAAAGCCGATACTTTCGCAACGAGATTCTCGTTATCTTGCTGCAACATCACAAGCTGCAACGCACCCGGCGCCCCCGACGCCGCACCGGCACCCAGGTTGTTCCCCCCGGCCACCGCAGACGACCCACCGAGGCCCTCCACGGATAAACCAGCCATGCCGTCGGCCAGCCGTGCCTCATCCCCGCCGACCGCCGACCCCGCCGCGGCTGCGGCCCCAGCTGCCGCTTCTTGCTGCTGACGTTGAAGTTGCTGCGTCTGCTGCTGCTGCTGCTGCCGCTGCTGTTGCGGCTGCTGCTGCGGCGGCTGCTGTTGCTGCGGCGGCGGGTTCTGCTGGTCCTGCTTGGCTGCCAATGCTATTGCGGCAGCCGCGCCCGCCACAGTGGCGGAGGGAGGGACACCGCCACCACCGCTGCTGCCGCCGCCGTCGGCGATCGAGGCATCCACCGACGTACGGATCCCGTCGGCAGGCCCTTTTCCGAGATTTGGATGCGAATCCATGTCGCCCCGAAAACAGGGGAAACTTAGACGCGAAATTTGTCCAGTCCAATACGTCACGCCACGAAACATCACGTGCCAAAAAGAAACGTCACGGCAGAAAACAACCCTTGGCCACCACACGCACACGTTCTCTCGCTCGCCCCCGGTAAACACGGCGAAGCGAGTAGACTGAAAACAGAAAACCAACACGCTCGTCCGCTTCCTGCTTTCTGATTGGCCAAGGTTTATTTCTGCCGCTTCTCACAAAACGCAGATTTCCCTTACTTCGTCAGACAATCTTTCGCGTTTTAGGAGTTCTCGCCTTTTATCACGGTATGAGTGGAGTACGTGGGAGGTCGAGCACGCTAATCAATCATGGAGGCAGTCAGAGGGGTGGGTTTATCTGCGATTGTGGCTACACTGACACACGTACCGCACAATGGAACGGACACCTCCGTTGGTGCGGTTCCGCCGCACCATCGGAGACGGCGGGAGCTTCGCCGAGAGCAGCATCACACACCAGCAGGGGTGGAAATGGGCTTGGTGGTAACATGCCGGTTGAAGGTCACAGGCATGAGGGGCATCAACAAGGCAAGCTTTGAACATTAACGCAGAGTCTCAAAATAATATAGTTCGCGGCTGCTTTCTCATTTTCCGGCAGAAAAATACAACCGAGTACCCTCCGCTGATGTGCATGTTTACGTGATGCAGTTTTAGTAGCATTATACGTGTGATGCACAGAGACATCACACCACAGCAGCATCATCGTGTTGTGTGTATCCTCTGAGCATTTTGACACGCATCCAACCAACACTCGATCGGGGGCATGCCCGGCGTCCGCCTGCCTCGTGACACGTGGGCTTATTCGCCGCGTGAGCTGTGCATCAGCTGCGTAAGAGAACCGCGGCTGCCGTATGACATGAGTAGCTTTTCAAGAAGCAGCCCACGAGCAACAATGAAACAACAACGCACCATGGCATACCTCCGTGGAACTTCCCAGCGTTCACTCTTGTATGCACAATTAGCAAATCCCACCGCTATACGTAGGGCGTAATAGAGGTTTAGGTAGTCCCCCACGACCAAAGCACATCCCACATCACACAAGACGACAGTTCGAGGGACCAAAGTGATGCTGCTGCTGACTCACGTGACCTCGAACTCCGCTCGCTAGCTCTTCCTGATACGATGCTCCACGTAGGATCTGAGGTTCGCAACGATTCTGTTCTCGGTCAACACGACTTTGACAACGCGCCTGGTGATGCGGTGTGATCAACAGAAAGCGGCACGACAGCTGCCTAGTTGGGATGGTAGGTGCTATCTCGGGGTGGTTAGGTGCAATATGCACTCCAAAAAACACGAAACGCCAGGAATACCGCTGCTCTCGTCCGTGTACCAGCTCAATACAGGGAACAATCTCTCTCACAGAAGGGCCAACGTGCTAGTTCTCCGTCCCGTCGAGCTCTCTCCCGCTGACATAACGAGCATACGAAGAGAGCAAGCGACAGGGAGAAGTCTTGCACACGACACGCTTTTTATGTCTCTTACGTTGTACTGGGATCAATCTCTCCCTGCCTCCCTCTCTCTCCGGCTTTTCACGTCTGTCTCTCTGTCTTTCCCTCTCCCTATGGCTCTCTGTCGATGCACCGTCGCCCAGATTCATCTCTAGGCGCTCGTCATTACCCGTCACGGACGGAAGCAATGGCCACTGATCCAGAGAGCCCTGATGATGGTGGGCAAGGCAACGAAGACTTCCCAGACATGCGAAGTGGTAGCGATGCGACCGAGTTTCCTCCAGAGGAACCACCTCTCTTGCCCTACCGGCCTCTGCTTGAACGACTGGACGAGCTTGCCGTCGACGGCCGCTGCGACCCCGGTGTTTCCGACGACGACGATGAACCGGTGGGTCCCGATGGTGGGTGGGCCAACTACCAGCAGTGGCATGGAGATGGTGTGGTGACTGATTTGGACGATTCTCGCGACGAACTCGATTTGAAGGACTCCGATGACCCACCAGATACTACTGCGGGGTACAGAGAGTGGGGGGAATCGAAGCGACTTGACGAACTGCATATCGGTCTTGGTGGCAAAGTCATGAAGGGCGGGGCACGTTAATGCGCATTTAACACCAAGGCGAAGCGTTCTCCGTATATTCCGTACTAAAATTTGTCGGTTCTGCTGTTGTATCAGCTTGTCCACAAGTACCAAGTATCGGAGGCCATGTTGACGGGTCTATTGGCTATTCGCGCACGCGTCACAACCTCAAAGGTTTCGACGTTGACGACATCCGACACATTACAGCGAAACACTTCTACGGCAGGAGAAGAGATCACCACCCACTTTTAGAGGTAGTCGAGACCTTTGTACCCTCCTCGAAGGACAACGGAACTTCTGTGCCTGTTTACGATATACCGTGCAACCTGCTCGTGAACCGTAAGATACAATCCCCGTCTTTCATCGAGACATGTGCAGAATTCGGGCGGTAAAGTGCTCAGAGCCGAAGAAGCAGATCCAAACGGATTGAACAGCAACCACCTTTTCTCGGTGCCAGAGCCGGCAGGCAACGCGTTGAGTACGAGCATGCACGGTAGACTCGCTCGAAACTCCCCTTTCTTTGGTTTTGATGGCCTGTTGGGGGCTAGGACCGGCAACCGCAAGGTTTACGTGAACGACGTTGTCATGGTAACCATGAGCGACGGAAACACGGTTCCAGTTAGGCTGCTGGAATGGTATTGGGATATGGAGCAGGGTACGTTTTTGGTTGCCGTCCGACGTTTCCGGACCCGGAATGAGGTTCGCGACGTACAAGGTGGTGAGAGAATCGAGGGACTTGTACGTGTGTGGGAGGAGGAAGGCACGAGTTCCAAGGTTATTGTGCACAGCACGACGATCCGGGACCTCTGCGAAATATACACGCGCGAAGAGGTGTCCAGATCGATGCATCTCGAAGATGAGTGGGAAGGGGGCGTTCGTTGGGCTGTTTGGGATGCTTTCGTAGGGGAGGGCTTTATCGTGAAGCGGCAGAAACGAAGAAGGCAAGGAGACAGTTTTCGGAGCCCGCCTCCCTTCGTGGAGTCGTCAGCATCGTGGGCAAGGGAAGGCACCGGTGATGAGCCCCTGTTTGGCATCCGAAAGAAAGACTTCCGGTACAACAAGAAAAATCTCGTCTTCGCGAGCATCCCGTTCTGTGTCTTCAACGATGCTTTCAACGCATGGTCAATGTCCATCAAGGTATGTGGAACCGGTGTGATTCTTCATCTTAAACATACAGTATTACGACACCCCCCGCTCCCCGCGCGTCCAGCGCTAGCTCCCTTGGTGAGTACGATCCAACTCCGTGTGTAAAACCACCGCGTGCGTGCTCAGGCACGCGTCTTATGGTAGAATTGAGAGGCCAGATAGTATATTGGCTCTGCGTGATAGATGACTATACACCGCCCCGTGGCATCTCAAACCAGCGTTTCGATTTTTTCACGACTACGGTGAGAATTGGGATCATGAAAATATACTTCGGATTTGTCAGGGAGTTGCATGCTTACAACAACCGAGTTCCTGTTCGTTCGTCGCTCCCCCACAACGTAAAAGCTGCTGCTGCTGCTGCTGCTTCTGCTGCTGCAACGAGTAAACAACGAGCTAACATACCTTCCCTACTGCCTCCTACATATACGCTGCTCGGAAGCACTCTGTGGGGGCCACCTATTTCGGGTGGGGGTGGGCAAGTAATTAGGTGCAACGTAGGCGTTCCGAGACACTCCTCGGCACCACCGCTTCGCCGGGGGCATGGGTCGAGGGGGAGATCTCGCTACAGGCAAGTGTTATGGGCGAGCTACAGCGAGGCTGTGAGGCGACAGCAATAGTTCGTGCAGCGGATGGACGAGTGCTCGACGTCGAGGCAAGTGCTGTGGGTTGACATTTGGCATAATCAAATTATTTTAGTGGAGAGGATTTGTGTTTTTTTGTGAAGCATTTATCGCATTATTTTGCGAAGACGTTCTTTGTCCCCTCGTCGATGAACTCAAGTGCCTGTTTTTCTCGTGGACCAAATGCTGTTCGTGTAAAAGGTTGGTGTTTTTTGTAAAGTATTTATTGCACTATGACGCAATGACGCTCCTTTGTCGCCTCGTTGGTACACAAAGGTGTCTATTGCTCTCGTCGATATAGTTCGCTTTGTGTGCCATGATTCAACCCTCCCTGTTGCACGTTTCCCCGCTGAAGCAACCAGATATGTTGTGACATAGTGTGACATGGCTTATTTTTATCCTATCTCAGATTTTTCTACACGGGGGTCCGCTCTCGTGGGTGTCTGACCTCCCACAAATAGCGAAGATCCTGTACTGCAAACACCCCAACAATTCCACCAAGCTACCGTGCCCATATTGCAAGGCCGAACAAGACGAACGTCTTCCAACTTGCGGCGACCTCGGGAACGCAAGGTACGACGTTGAGGCAAATAGGCGGACGTGGGGGGAAGCCCAAGATGGCTGGCGCGAGTTGCAGGCATTGGACTTGGCCCCGAATGGGCAGACGAAGCGCTCGGCGGAACTAGGAATAGTGGCGCCTACGGGGGTTAGCGGCGGTGTCCTCGGACGCCCGCTGTGGGACAAGGTGTTTATCAACCCTGCACGGCACGTCCCCGTCGAGAGTCTTCATGCCGATGCGCTGGTGCGTCGTTTTGTGTTTTAGACCCTACCCAACAGTCACAGTGTTTTCTCTTTCTTTCTCACATTAGTTCTCCATTCTAAAACATCCATGCCGCAAAGGAACAGCAAAAATATGGTACATGGGCGCCCCACGACACTAAAACTGGGCCCCGAGGGAGTCTTGCGTGATCGCCGACGCTGAATCAAGGACTAGGGTACATACCAGATTTGGAAGAACGATAGGAAATAATAGGGCCTGCGAAATGGAAGTAGAGGAGACTAACTTCAGGCCTAAAAGAAAGGCTTTCCACACCCGGCCACAATGCCGGAAGGTTCCATTCTGGCATCGTGTTTGTTATTGTTTAGTTTCGTTGTGAAACTCATCCAATGGGGCACAGAATGTATGTGTAGCTTGACATCCTCGCGTCCAAGTAGACAGCGATGTGGGAACATGTAAGTTTGACGCATATATGTGGGCACATGTAACGTGTTTTGTGTCAGCGGCCTAAATGTTGTGTCTCGTGGGAAAACTCATCTGATTATGCCACCGTGCAAGCACCCCTCGAAAACACAGCGAGATTGCAGTATAGTATGAGTGCACATCATGTTGATCCCCAATGCGCCCCCGCCTTTTTGTGTTCAACCTGTACACTGTTTACCGCAGGGGGCGCAGGCGTTGGTGCAGGTTTTTTTTCTGGCCCTCCTGAACGAAGCTGGCCGGGGAGTGATCTCTTCCATCGTACGGCAAGGCAGCACGCTGTACCCACCAGCTACAGCACCATTGAAAGACATATGCACCAACTATTCCTCCCTGAAGGGTAGTGACAAATGGCTATTGGGATCGATCCTGCTTCTCGTGTCCCCCTGTGTCCTCCATGACGCGACAGCACTGGCAATGTTGTTGTCTATTGCCTACACGTGAGGGCGCGGGTTGTTTTGCGGGTTCATGCGATATGCCATGGTTCTCGTAAAAAAACTGCTCACCAGTAAACGATTAAAATGTTATGCCCGCGGCCCCCTGCAAATATACGATAATATCGACGGGTGCGTTATGATGAGCTACCGTAGGGCTGCGGATATTATGTGGACAACGACCGAGATCCAAGCACCTTTTTTTTTGTGCACCTTTTCGTGTCCATCATGCGCAGAAAGAGTACGTGAAGCCGCGAGAGCTACAAGCCTTGAAAGACACATGGGGAGGAGAGCAGGCCGTGTTGGCGCAACTGCGGAAGCTGTTGCAAGTGGCGTATGCTCTGACGTTCGCAGTTTGTTCGCCGTCCTTCGATAAGGCTGAACGCAAAAAGCTCATGGAGCATGCCCGGGACACGGTGAGGGCCTTCAGAGACAATTTTCGTACCGTGTCTGACAGATTGCCGTGCAAGTTGTCGACCCAGCTTTGACCCTAGCCCATCGTCCTTGCTACAATATATATACCAGAGAATGCCTAGGCTTAACACTTCGGAATTCCGATTGAATTCGATGTTTCCAAAGAGGCTCACACCTCCGCCCCGAATAAAATCTCGTTGATTTGTTACCGCTTGTTGTTCAAGACCGTTTGCTTTGGTGAAACTTTCGGATTTCTCAAAAGCTCGAACAAACGTTATATCCCCACGCACTTCTAGGCGTTTCCCTCGCGGCGTCTCTTGTAACCATTGCTCCTCCAAAAATGTGCCCATTTCATGTATGTTGCACACACACACCCCTCCCATGTATTAAACGAGGGCGACGGTATATCACAAAAATATGTTTTAAACATCGTCCTCCCAGGTTCGGGTGTACGACGGGTAAATTATAAGCCCAAAGTTTCTGCTGGTACATAGTCCTCGCGCCAGCAACAAGCGCATTTCTCATCATGTCATTCAAGTGCGCATCAGTTTTCATTGCAAAATGGCCTTTCCTTTTTTTTTTGGGCGGGGGGGTGCTGTGGTGCAGGTGGGGGTGCATGCGGAATTGCTAGGGAGGGGAGGCGTGAGGGCAACCGTGCACTCTGCTCTGCACTACGTCCCGGCCATTGAAGACCATGTTGAGTTGAGAGCATGTATGAAGAAGTTTCTCTCAGGTTCTTGAGAGTGTCCGATTAGAACGACCCGCCTCATTCTATTTTCTTGTACGTGCAATGTTATTTGATCGCCGATCCGTGTGGAACGCCGATCCCCCCCCCCTTTTTGCGTTTCTCCTATGTGATGCGGTGGGGACATGTTTTGTTGTATCCGTACATATACGCGTTGGCAGGCCACATGCCTGATGCCAGCACGGGCGAAGCTGCGCACCAAAGGAACAAGAAGGTCAACCATTCTAACAGCGGCCGCAACGCCGCGGCGCACTACGCGCCGGTTCAACATGGACCTCGCCATCGATGCCTGAAGAAATTCCGTGGGAGGTCACCAGATTCGACCGCAGGTTGAAGAAATATGTAGTGGAGACCGTCAAGGCTGGCTCCGGCTGCTCTGCGGTGCTGCGGTCGTTGGGTGATGTTCTGCCGGGGGGGTTGTCTTCCGCCCCGACGGACGCTCGCGCCGCTAGCACCCCAACGGCTGCTCAACGTGCTGCTCAGTTCCCCGGCGCCGCAACCTGGACAAGCGTGCTGTGGGAGGCCGGGTCGCCTAGGGGCAACGACGCCGGCGGAGGCGGGTGGGAGTCCCGCATTGCCACGGGCCCTCTTCGTCCCGATGAAAAGACGTCGATCGGAGCGTACAACACATACTTCAGCTGCGGTCGTGCGGATAGGGGTGCGTTATGCGAAGAACCGCGCTGTACCTACTGCTGGCTGAACCCGTCCACGCTCGACGACAAGGACATCGTTTGCACACGGTTCAAGCACGGCGCTTCTCTCGGGGCAAGTAGCGGCCTCGGCCGGTGGAAAGGGGGCGATGTCAGAGCGTCGACTCGAACGGCACCCGGTGGAGATTGGTGGCTGGGCGAGGGATGTGGGGAGGACGTGGAATTCTTCAAGGAGCAGCCCTTCGACGACGATGTACATGATGGCCCCGCTCAGGCGTCGGGCCTTTCCTCTACTTGTTCGAGCACAGAGGGAACACGCACCAAGGATCCCACGACCGCCCGTTGACATCGTGGGTGCTGGGGTTCGACTACGTCTCTGACGGTGTTGGGAACCAACGTAGTCCCGGCCCCGTCACGTTGCACCCGGTCTTGGTCCTGCGAGGGAGACGGCGCCCGGTGGTGTTCCCTTCAGCCGCAATCAGGCGGCATGTGCACATGTACCATCGCTGTCCAGGGCCGAGCATCCGCCTGCCGATCGTGATTGGATGTGTGGACCTGAACGATGTGGTCGGAGCGGACGCCAAGTGTGGCGACACAAGTTCAGGCTGGCGTCGCCGAGAGACAGGCCGTGCGACCGCTTTCTCTTGAATGAATTCCACCACAGCATCAACCGAGAGTCTTTTGATTAGAACGTTATCCCAGGTACATTCAGATAAATGCTTGACGTTGAACCTAAAGTTTTGTAAGCATTTAGGCCGTACGGTTGTGTTCGCAGAGCCCAAATGTGTGCCCAACTTTCCCTGCCCTAAAATGAGAGACCTACAGTAACAACCCCCTGCGCTCGACGTTCCGACAGCAGGTACAGCGGTAACCTTGCGGAGAGAGTGTGCGCTTTGCCACTGGAGAGCTACATATTCGATGAGGTTGTTGGGGTAGACGAAATAGAAACACGTTACGGTGAATAGGAGTTATTGTCATGTGCATGCGCCGGATACACGCGGACACACGCGGAGAGGAGGTAGAGTTTTCTTGAGCATTTGGGATGGATGGAGTTGATGGAGCGATGGGGCGCCGGCGTGCAGCGTGTGGGGTGTGTGCGGGCGCTCGAAGGAGAGGGGGAGAGGGTTGGGGGGGACTGCGTGGTTGATTCTGACATCGTTTCTCCGGCCTACATGGGGTAGCACGGATCAATTGATTTTGGGTGAGCGGCCGAGTGACGTTCTTGTTTTTGCTGAACCTGATGAAAGTACCCTGCTGTCTCACTTTATGTATGTAGCTCTCTTGGAAGAGCACGTCATGCGCGAGGGCATTTTCCCGATTGTTTTCTCACGAACCAGGTACATAATTCTTCTTGCTGTCGGGCCATTCGTATCAACACTTCGCGTTTGAGGGGTGCTCATATTTGACCCCACCGCGTGCCCGGTGTTACTTTATACGTATCGAAAACAGTGTTTCAAGCGTGTGTTTAGTACAGTACAGTACTTTTATTCCAGTATTGAAGTCCGTACTAAAGCAGCCAGTACAGTACAGTACTGAGGGCCGTGTTTTCAGTACAGTACATTCCAGTATCAGGAGCTGTACTAAAAGTACTGAAAATTTAATTCCAGTATCGAGAGCTGTACTATAACAGCCAGTACATTCCAGTATCAAGAGCCGTACTAAGGGCGCAGTTTATTCCAGTACCGCGAGCTGTACTTAAAGTACTGAAACTTTTATTCCAGTGTCGAAAGCTGTACTATAAGTACTGAAACTTTTTATTCCAGTGTCGAGAGCTGCACTAATACAGCCAGTACATTCCAGTATGCCTCGCAGGTACTGAATACTGTTCAGTATCGCCAATATCAAGCGCTGTACTGAAGCGTGCAGTGTTGCGCAGTATTACACCAGTACAGGATGGAGGGCAGACCTCCACTAGAGCTCGTACTGAGCGTACTGATAGGTTGAGCGGAGTATCAAGAGCCGTACTATAATAATAGTGACAATGTATACTACAGTAGTAGGGTTGAGAGACTGCTGACTTGGTCAGTAGGGATAGCACAGATGCATATGCATGAAGCACCGAAGCTGTACTAGCACTACCACTTCCTTGCTTCTCTTGGGTTAGGTCTTATAGTGTTGATGCACCCGCGGCGGCATCACTCGCCGCTTCTGCGGCCGAACTACCTGCGGCGTCACCCATCTGAAACTTTTATTCCAGTATGGCGAGCTGTACTAAAAGTACTGAAACTTTTATTCCAGTATTGAGAGCGGTACTTAAAGTACTGAAACTTTTATTCCAGTATCGAAAGCTGTACTAAAACAGCCAGCATATTCCAGTATGCCTCGCAGGTACTGAATACTGTGCAGTACCGCCAGTACTATGTTCGTGAGTCTGCGAACATTGCTGTTGGATACATGTGCTGGATGATTTTGTGTCACGCAGACTGGTAAGATAACCGTTTGATAGGGGGCACCGCGATGATTCACGGGGCCCCTCCTTGCTGTGGGAGCCGCTCTTTGAGCACTCCCTCTTTCGTCCGTGTGAAGGA